CACGTCTAGACTGCGTTATGTAGTCTTCGGAGACTTGGACTTAGTTGCTACTTCCTCCAGTTATAAAACTATTGCTTCTCTACCGGGAATCCAATTAGGGCATATCTTTGTAATTAATAATTCTTGTATTTTAACCTACGCACGAAGTTATATTGCTTTAGTATTTAATATATTATTTTAAAAAAATTAATATATCGTATTTCCGCAAAAAAGTAACACGTAACGTAAAAATTGTTGAAAAGAAAATTGTATATTTTAAGATTAAATATGACAATATTAAACATAACTTGGAGCTAATCATAAATTGTTTGTTTCAAGTTCTCTAAAATTATAATGTAGATATTAATTTTGTTATAGTGCAATGTTACCCCTAAAAACTTATCTTTATCTGTATCATTTTTTTTTTAAGTATATGAATTCAACTTGTATTACTTTTTCTGACTTAAAGGCTGATTTGAAACACAATCCGAAATTCGAAAACTTTTCTTGCAGAGGTGCAGTATACAATCATTAGGCTACAAGATATTTGTAATTTCATTATTGCTTATAAGAATACGATGTCTATCTTGTGTTACTCGTGTCATAAACAACATCATAAATAACGCGATTTCTTTCCCTACGCGAAAAATCGGATGGAACATCAGTCGCTCGGATAAAATAATAGCATGAAGTACCGCGATACGCAAAATGGCGTGTATTAGCACGATGTAATATCCTCGTGAATATAGTAACTGGTAGCTTGAGCTTCTATCCACTTCCCTTAAACACGCTTAAACTGGTCGAGCACGTTTACGTAATACATGAATGTAATATTGCGTTACGAATACATGAATTCCTCTACCATAGAGAAAACCACCCGAATCTGAAAATTTTGATTACCGTTGAGTTTCGCGATTACACATAATTACAAGTTTAATCAAGCCGCTGTCGCGCCAAAAAAGATTGCGCTCGTAATCTACACGAACGGTTTTATTCATAAATTAATTTTATTCTTGTTGCAAACATTCCAGTTTCTTCTTCATTGCATTTTTAAGAACCAACGGTCGCAGGACAGAATGAATCTCTTAGGATCTCGTATTTCTTATTGAACAGCAATTCAGGGACGCTAACGTTTTAAATTTTTAGTAACTTGCAATTTTACGAACAAGGTAATTTAATTCTCTTGCTATTTAAAAAATTCAGGTAAAATTCGAAGATTGCTCGACTTGCATTCTAAATAGAATTTTTTGCGTAACTCGTGGTAACAGATAACAGAGTGTTTAAAATTCCCTGAAAATTCCCAGATTTTTCAGATATCTTGTTCAAAATTTCAGATAAGATTAGAAAATTTTTTAATTTTGAAATAAATTAAAGTACAAGTAAACTATATGCATTGAAAATTAGAAGATAGAGTTTTTGCAAAACAATATCTATCTTTTTTTCTAATTAGAGAAACTTATATAGAAAATAGTATAAAAAAATTTATTACAAAGTAATATTAACACAATCAACTATTCTATTCTGTTCACTATCTTCTATTGTTAACTTGATATTTTTTAATAAAAGTTCGCGAAACATAGTGTGCGCGGATATTTTATATATGCCGTACTTATTGCTACACCCTGAGAAAGGTTTCTTCAATTCAAAGAAATGTTTCTCTGCTATATGATTAAAGAAAAAATTTCTTTGAAACCTTCGAAGAAACCTTTCTCTGGGTATAATTTATTATTAACATTTTGTATTATCAAAAAAAATTATTAAAGTAGTAGAAAAAGAATTTAAAAGTAAAATTTAAGTTAATTTAATTTAATTTAATCATTTACCTGAGACTCAATACAATTCCTCGAAAAAAAAACTCATTTTCAAAGATAAAAAAAGAACCAAATTTTTCTAGGTAAATAAATACTGTAGATAATCCCTTTGCAAGACTTCATTATCTACTTTGACTTGCTCTCGTCTCAACGATCTCAAGATGTTTCTTACTTTTCATTGACTTCCTTCGGTTGCATATGTCGTATATGGCCGAGATCCGATCGACAGTTTCGTATTGTCCCAGGAGCGCGAGAACTCGATAGTCTCGATACGAACTCAGGAGCCAAGAGCGGCAATCGGACAATTTTCGCGTAAATGCGCACACGATCGATCCGTGGCGCATTGCACGCCCGTATAACACGTCTAGGAACGTACGAGTGATTTCGTCTATTCCGAGTTTGCGGAACTTGATTGCCGCTATTCAGACTAGCCATCAGGATTGATGGCGACTAGCTCGAATTTGCCCCTTGCAATATCAATTACCGGAACTATTATTAAAGAATCGAAAACGCGACAGGCCGTGAATTCAATTTGCTTAACGACTTCTTACGTCATTCAACGCATATTTCGTAAAAGTTACACCAGCGAATCCTCTGCTTTCCTTTCGTACACCAATTTTACAGAATGTACAAATTTAAAAAATATTATTCATCGTGCTTACTTTTTCAACTTTTTTTTTTTTATTATTATTTATATTATTTCCACACGGAAGAACAATTTTGCTGAAATGTTTAAAAATTTAGTTAAATACAGATTTGAAAATGTTTTTATTGAATCACCAAAATAATTAAGGAAATTGAAACGCAATCTTATAAAAAATGTAGACATTTTCGCAATTAGCTTGAGCATTTTCCATTATTATTTTGATAATCCCATAAAATTTTTTTCAGATCCGCATTCAGTTAAATTTTTAGATATTTCTGTAAAATCGTTCTTTTCGCAAATATTTGAAGGAATTTTATTTTATCAATTATGTGTGTCAACTACAGAAAGAAAGAACTTAAAATCGACAAGAAAATATTATTTTCGTATCTCTATATTCAGAGATAAAAAGACATAGCAACTACAAAAATTACAAGTGCAGATGGACATTTTACAGAACATTTTGTAGATTTAATGTACGAAAAGTTTTGCTGAAGTATTTAAAAATTTAGCTAATAATAAATCTGAGAATAATTTTATTGATACATCAAAATAATTATGTAGAACGTTGATAATAAAAAAACATTCCAATTTTAACATTCCAATAAACAATTTAAATATAATTATTTTAATGGTTAAATAAAATTAATTTTACATATATTTCTAATTAAATTTTTCTTCAGCAAAACTTTAGCAAAATTATTTCTTTTTGCCAATGTTTTTAATTACTGCAAACTGTAAAATAATTTTTTCAAAACTACATACATTAATTCTATGCAGACATAAAACTTATGTAGCTGTCATCTTTACTTTAGTTGCTATGCTTTTCTAATTGTTTCTAATCTATTATTAGCTAAACTTTTAAATACTTCAGCAAAATTTTTCGTACATACATTAAATCTACATATAAAATGTCCATTTGCAGTTATAACTTTTGTAGTTGCTATGTCTTTTTCTAATCTAATATACTATATATATTCATATTTAGAAGAATATTAAACACGAGAAAAATTAAATAATTAAAACACGAGAAAATTAACTAATAAATAATAAAATCGAGCAATAACTAATAATAGACAAGCAATAATCACTTACCGCAAATCAGCAGCAGTTGCCTCTCCTGGTTGATTCATTACGTCCATTTCCTCGATGCTCCACAATGTTCCTGGATACACCGGCAACATACTTCCACTGGAAATAATAGAAAATTAACTAATGAGTAACAGAACTGAGCAGTAGTAATACAGTACAATAATAGTCAAGGAATAATCACTTACTGAAACACCAATGAGTTGCTGTCATCTCTCTCAGTTGATTCATTATGCCCATTCCCTCGACACTCCTCAATGTTCCTAAATTCACCGGCGATATACTTCCATTCACACTCCTGAATAATAACGTGAAATGCGAGATTATATGACATGTCCGTGGTACAAATCCGCACGTCAATTCGATACGACGCGACGGAAAGTGATCGACATCGATCGAGGATTGACTAGCGCATTCGCGCTTAGATTTACTCAGCCCTCCCGATATTTCCCGCGTAAACGCCAAAATTCTAGAAAACGCATCAAAATGGTGGATGAATCCCTCGCGCATTTCACGGACAGTCGCGATCGCCGGCTCCGACTAATTCGTCACAGCGATATCTTGCAATGCTCCACTCGACGTTCTTTGATCACGACGATGCTCTCTCGCATTCTGAATGATGAAAATCGTCCTTACCGTTCTAACCGCTCTCACCACACTCATCGGATGAGCTCTTGACAAACGAAGACGAACAGAACACGAAGTGATACCACAACCGTTGATTACGCATACATCGATCACGCGGTCATTCGCAGCCGTGCGGGCTGATTGATACAACGAAATGATCGGCCACCGTTAAACTCGACACTCTCGGTCCTCATTTGTGCGCGGAATTCACCCGAGACGAGTAAAAAGGCACGAAAATGCGGAGCGATTGCGATCCTGCTGCGCAATAAGTGTACCGTTTGACTTGCGAGAAATGTGTAACTAATTTGAACCAATCACGTGATTTGCGGCCAACTTCGCGCGCTCATACGACGCGACAAAATTGCTTTCCTACGTCAATAGCATCCTACGTCTTGATATATCGAATATGTGAATAAAATGTTATTGAATAGATATTAATATTATATTAAACGATTAGAAGAAAATTCAATTATTAAGATATTTTATAAGTTTGCATAAAATATAAATGTCATATAAATAAATAAGAAATTTGTTGTCCTATTTCATATATAATATTTATATAATATACTCAAATAACATAATATTTAAAACGCTATTTAAATCTAAATCAATACTTTAAACAATACAAAAAAAATTACACGATAAATGTCTAAAATTTTTTAAACCCAATTAAAAATATTTGTCAAACTATGACGTAATTCTTATTTTTTTCAATTATTTATAAATATATTATTATTTACATAATATAATTGAGCATATATGCATCCAATAAACAGAATAGTTATAAACAATAAGAATATAATTGTACATATTGCTGGAATACTATTTCTATGTAATTATTATTCTTACTACTCATAATGGCACATATTTTTGTTACAGGGAATTTGTTCGTGATAGCGGCTATTCTGTTAGAGCGAAACTTACAATCTGTAGCAAATTATTTAATTGTCAGTTTGGCTGTCGCGGATCTTATGGTCGCCTGCCTCGTAATGCCTCTTGGAGCTGTTTATGAAGTACGTATTAAAAATATTATACGTATTAAGTACTGTAAGTTATTATCATACATTTTCTCTGCTGAATTATGCTGAATGCTTGGCAAGAAAACGTGTGGACTCAAAGTTTTTTGTAAATTTGACAAAATGCGACGTTCGCGAAATTCGTGTAAGAGGAATGATTCATATTTTTATCAGCAATGCCAAACTATCATTTTCAACAGGAATGTCTATTGCAGAAATTTTAAAATATGGTGGACTTGACCTTATATTCACATTTATAAAATACAAAAGATAGTAAAAACATTTATTAACTTTTGTATTATAATAATCTTTATATGAAAAGAATGGCTAAAACATAAAAAAATTTAGCTAAATATAGATATCAAAATAATTTTATTGAGTTATCAAAATAATTATGTAGCATGTTTAAGCTAATTGCTGGACTATCAAATTTTACAGCATTACTCGTGCATTATTTAAATTTTCTATATGATTATTTTGATGGTTTAAAAAATTAGTTTTACATTTTTGTATTTATGTTAATTTTTAGATATAGCAAAATTGTTTTTTCCATATATATATATATATATAT